CTTATAATGTGGTCAATAATTGGTAATAGTAAAAATGAAAAAAATTCTTTGAAAATCGAATATATTGCAGCTATTTTATTAGGAGTAGCAATACCCAAACAACCACATTCTCTATGTCATCGAATTATTTTTCTCTACTTGATTGCAATTGGCTTCTACTTATCAACTAGTTTTCTAAGTGATTTAACAGCCAGTAAAGTAAAGAATTCAGATGTAGTGAAAATCGAAACATTTCGTGATTTAGCTGAATCAAATTTTGTACCATTCATTGCTGCCAATATTGAAAGATATATTAATGATGATTCTGAAGATTTACAACTTTTGAAAAAGAAAATTGTTCCCATTCCATTTGTTGACATTGAATGCATTGAGATGCTTGTAAAATATAGAAATGTTAGTTGTTTAATTTATAGTTCATATGCAAGACGATTAGTTGAAATTTTTAAAGAATCATCAGGAGAGCCAATAACGAAAATTCTTAAGCCAATTATTTTTAATACAAGAAGAGTAATTATTTTAGAAAAAAGTTCACCATATAGAGAGAGATTAGATGAATTATTACCGATTTTTGTTGAATCTGGATTGCGAAAAAAATGGGAACTTAATATTTCAAATGATATATTTATGTACAATTTGTTTGGTGTTAATAGATATAATGATAGAGTGGTATTAAAAATGGGTGATTTAGATTCTGTTTCTAATTTAGGAGGAGTACTTATTTTTGTAGCTTTATCTGGATATATGTTTTCGTGTCTTATTTTTGCCATCGAAATATTGTATGCTAGATTTTTGAAGCATTAAATTAGAAGCATCTAAAAGATTTTCGAGGTAAAAATTGATGTTTTGAAACCAACATTTAGTCTATAGGTGACCTTTTTCTTAATATTTACTTACACACAAAAAGTGTAATTCTGCAGTGGCTAAAAAATATTTATCATGCGAAAAAAAAATAAAAATTATTGATTTTAAGAAACTAGGGCGGCGCTAAATTCTCGATCGATTATGCAATTTGAATGAACGTCGTTATTTAGTTGTAAAGTTAAGAAAATAAAAAATATGAATACATATCTTTTATTATTTATATTTGCTGTACATATTATTATTATTATTATTATTTAATTATTTATTAATAAAAATTAATTATTCTTTAAATGTTTTTTGAATTCATATAAAACATTATTTCCCTATAGAAATTTAATTTAATTAAAAATTAGATAAAATTTTTAAAACTTGTAATAATTAAATAATTGACATTATTTTAATGAATAGCTGCGACTGTTCTATTACATTTTCGTTGACTTTTTTAAAAGCTGACTCATCATTCTTTAGACTTTTGTTGAGACTTTTTTTGATATTCATTGGAGGTGGTGGTATGTGGGGCCCATTATATTCACTATTTAAATAGACACAATTGTAAGTACATTTTCATGGTCTTAAATTTTAACTAAATTGCAGCTCCCACTGGTAGATATTTTCCAAAATTAAATATACATATGTGTATGTTTTTATCGACAAAACAGTTTAAAGAACAATTTTCCATCACAAGATAATTGTTTCGGATATCTTTTGATATTTTTTTTTATAATTTACAAATTATTAAATGTTAATAACAATTATATAGTTAATTTCATAATTATTTGTATAGTGTTTATTAAAATTTTTATTGGAAATTAGAAAAAATTAAAACAAACAGTTAATTTAAAAATTAAATTTAAACATTTATAAAAAATTTAATTTCATAATTTACTTTTTTACAATTTTTTTTTATTTAAACAATTGTTAATTAACAATATTAAATAATTTAGTTTTACAATGCGTGTTCTTTTGACACATGAGATTCGTTAATTAATGATAATTAATAATAATAATAATAATAAATTTATCATGACCCGTGTGGAAAAAGCCACGATCTTGCCCTCAAGAGTTCGGGGCCCCCGGCGGGGGCCCATGAGGGCTGATCCATATGGCGAATCCATGAGGGGCACCGTAGGGGCCCCGCATGGATCGCCCTCATGATCGATTAGCAAAATTTTCCAAGTCCAAAAATCAAATATTTTTTTATCACCAAAAAATTAATGTTTATAATGATTCACAACAATGAAAAACGCGTTTTTAATTAAAATATATTTTCACTTTTTTTGAAAATAACACTCACACTTATGGCGAATCCATGAGGGGCACCGTAGGGGCCCCGCATGGATCGCCCTCATGATCGATTAGCAAAATTTTCTAAGTCCAAAATTCAAATATTTTTTTATCACCAAAAAATTAATGTTTATAATGATTCAGAACCACGAAAAACGCGTTTTTAATAAAAATATATTTACACTTTTTTGAAAATAACACTCACACTTATGGCAAAATAGATGAGGGCCACCGTAGGGGCCCGCATGGATCGCCCTCATGATCGATTAGCAAAATTTTCTAAGTCCAAAAATCAAATATTTTTTTATCAACAAAAAATGAATGTTTCCAATGATTCAAAACAACGAAAAACGCGTTTTTAATAAAAATATATTTACACTTTTTTGAAAATTCGCCTGAGATGATTCATGATAATAATCATAAAGCATATAATTAATTATATTTTATAAATTGCATTTGATTGGAAAATATAATTTAATATCTTAACTTTAACTAAATGATGTTAAGCACTTTTCTTTGTTAGGTATTTTTCAAGTTTAAATAGCATCAAGAAGTTAGCATTCGTTTTGAAGTAGCGTGCGTAGCGTAGTTGGTAAAGCGTTAGACTCATAGTCCGTAGGTCGTAGGTTCGATTCCCCCCATGCGTTAGATTTATTTATTTCTCAGGTTTGCGTTTAATCATTAATTCTATGTATGAATTAATTGAAAAATGAAAATATCGGTTAATAGTATGCATAAATTACATATTTTTTAATTTTTTAATTAATTAATTTATTATTACTTTTAATTATATCCGACAGTTAATTAATTAGAACGTTAATTAATAAATTCAATTTGAGTAAGAATTTAATTTAAAATTGAATAATTATTAAATAAATATGTTATTTATTCATAACTTAAGCTTATTTATTATCAATTAACTTTTATTATTAATATTATTGATTAAAAAACATTATGGCAAACTTGAGGGCAAGATGAGGGCAAACGTGAGGGCCCATAAGGGCGCCCGTAGGGGCACCCTCATGGATCGCCCATGCGGGCGCCCTCATCGATGAGCATGTCGTTTCCATGAGGGGCCCCTATGGATCATCCATATGCGCCCCTCATGGCATGAGGGCGATCCATAAGGGCCCCCGCTGGGGGCCCACATCACTTTTCCACACGGGGAGGTTTAATTTTTTATTTATAATTTTCATAAATATTTATATTGTTATAAACAATAATTGAAAAAATTATTTATTTTTAACATTATTGTTTATTGCAAAAATTAAAAAAAAAAATTGTAAAAAAATCCTCCAGGTGAGGCTCGAACTCACAACCCCGGCATTGCTCACGTAAACTGTCTTATAAGTACCGTGCGCTAACCAATTGCGCCACTGGAGCTTATCTATCGTATAAATATAAATGTTTTTTTTCTTCCTCAACAGGTAGAAATTATGATAAAAAATTGTCATGTTAGACAATAATTGTTCATGAATTTCAATGAAATTTGTTACACAGCAGTTTTTGGAAACGGTGATTACGAATTTGATGTCAGTTTTTAAGAATTCAAAATGGCGAATTCAATATGGCGAAAACATTTGCGAAAATTGCTTAGATTCACTCGAAACTTGTAAGTTGGGGGGTTTTTAGGGTCACTGAAAATGAATTCGAAGTTAGTTTTTAAAATTTCAAAATGGCGGATCCAATATGGCGGAAATATTTGGGAAAATAGTTTGGATTTGCTTGAAACGTGTTATCTAGGGGTTTTCAGAGTCGCTAATTACGAATCTAATGTCTGATTTTTAAAATTTAAAATGGCGAATTCAATATGGCGGAAACATTTGCGAAAATCGCTTCGATTCGCTCGAAAATTGTTTCTCAGGGGTTTTCAAGGTCGCTGATTGGGAATCTGAAGTCAAATTTTAAAAAAAATTCAAAATGGCGGATACAATATGGCGACCACATTTACAAAAAATGCTTCGATTCGCTTGAAATTTGTTACTTTAGGGGTTTTCAGGGTCGCTGAAAATGAATTCGAAGTTAGTTTTTAAAAATTCAAAATGGCGGATCCAATATGGCGGAAATATTTGGGAAAATAGTTTGGATTTGCTTAAAGCGTGTTATCTAGGGGTTTTTAGGGTCGCTGATTACGAATCTAATGTCTGATTTTTAAAATTTAAAATGGCGAATTCAATATGGCGGAAACATTTGCGAAAATCGCTTCGATTCGCTCGAAAATTGTTTCTCAGGGGTTTTCAGGGTCGCTGATTAGGAATCTGAAGTCAAATTTAAAAAAATTCAAAATGGCGGATACAATATGGCGACCACATTTACAAAAAATGCTTCGATTCGCTTGAAATTTGTTACTTTAGGGGTTTTCAGGGTCGCTGAAAATGAATACGAAGTTAGGTTTAAAAATTTCAAAATGGCTGATCCAATATGGCGGAAATATTTGGGAAAATAGCTTGGATTTGCTTGAAACGTGTTATCTAGGGGTTTTTAGGGTCGCTGATTACGAATATAATGTCTGATTTTCAAAATTCAAAATGGCGGATCTAATATAGCGAAAATCGCTTCAAAATTGTCTCTCGGGGATTTTCAGGGTCGCTGATGACGAATCCGATGTTAGATTTTTAAAAATCAAAATGGCGGGTCCGCAATATGGATTTGTATCCTCTTTCAAAGTAAGGTAAAATTAAAAAATATATTTTTTAAAGTTTGTAAATTTTATTTGATATTATTATTTATTTATAATATTTACAATTATATATGAACAAAGTAATAAATAATAATAATAATAATAATAATAATAATAATAATAATAATAATAATAATAATAATAAATGATTTAATCACTGATTTTGCCGTAAAAATCTAATAAAAAGAATTGACACAAAAATTTATATTATCACGAAACAATTGTAACATAATAACAGTAATATTTGATGACCTTTTTATTTCTTTTTTCTTTTAATTTTAAAATTATCCACAATCGACTAATAAACTTATGAGATAATTCGTTCACGTTTATTGCGTATAATCCTGAAAAAAATGTTAAGCATTTGAATGATTATAGTTTAAATGCATTTTGATATTCTTTATTATATTTATAAATTATAAATCAGAATAGTTGAACAAAAATTTTATATACTAATTGTAAGATTTTTTTTTTATTTTTACCTAGATGTAAAAGAAATAGTCACCTCGTAAAATTGAAGAATTTGTTCTTTTGTAATATTCTTTAAACATTCAATTTCCATATTCGTCCTATCGAAAGAGTACGTTTTTGAAAAAATTTCATTCCAAAAGGCAGCTGACATTTCTACCATTGACTTTGGCTTTTTGGATATTTTATTTATAATTAGCGATTCCTTGTGCTTTGCAAATTCCTCTAGAGTTACATTATTAATATGTGTCTATAATTATTAAGAAAAAAAATTCAGTCAAATTCTCAATAGTATCACTAGTCCAAATTCTCAAATAATTTTAAGTTTAGAAAGTCTCAACGGTCTTAAGTCTCAATAGCTCTAAGTCGCAATAGTCTCAACAATCTTAAGTCTCAATACTCTCATTAGTCTCAATAGTCGCAACGATCTCAAGCTTCAACAGTACTCAGTCTCAAAAGTCTCAACGGTATCAAGTCTTTATAGTCCTAAGTTGCAAATAGTTGTCTCAACGATCTCAAGTCTTAACAGTCCTAAGTCTCAATAGTTTCAACAATCACAAGTCTTAAAAGTTCTAAGTCTCAATGGTCTCAAATCATAACAATCCTAAGTCTCAATTGTTCTAAGTCTCAACGGTCTCAAGTCTTAATAGTCCTAAGTCGCAAATAGTCTCAACGGTCTCAAGTTTTAAAAGTCCTAAGTCTCAATAGTCTCAACAATCCTAAGTCTCAATAGTTCTAAGTCTCAACTGTCTTAAGTCCTAATAGTCCTAAGTCGTAAATAGTTTCAACAATCTCCAGTCTCAATAGCCCTAAGTCTCAATGGTCTCAAGTCATAAGTCCTAAGTCTCAATTGTTCTAAGTCTCAACGGTCTCAAGTTTTAATAGTCCTAAGTCACAAATAATCTCAGCGGTCTCAAGTCTTAACAGTCCTGAGTCGCAAATAGTCCTGAGTATCAACGGTCTCACGTTTTAATAGTCCTGAGTCTCAAATAGTCTCAACGATCTAAAGTCTTAACAGTCCTCAGTCTCAAAAGTTTTAACGGTCTCAATAGTCACAACAGTCTCAAGTCTCAATAAGTTAATTTATATTTAATTCAAAAAAAATAAAAATTGTTATTCTCTCGCATTCAAACCTTTATTGATTCCAAATATTCGTCTACTTTTAATTCATTATATTGCAAATATTTATCACTTTGCATATAAATAGTCAAGCGATCGGATTTATTTAATGTTATTGATTTAGTTTGCCTGATGTAAGACAATTGTTTATTATTATTCCTTAAAATTTGGACAATTGGTTCCGCAATAATTTGTGCAAATAATTCAAGAAGACTGTTTAATTCTATCATCGATTGTCCCTCTCGAGGATAATAAATTAAAGTACCAATAGTTACATTCATTTTGTCCATGATTTCGTAAACTAAATGTAAGCCTATATACATATAAATTTTATTAAGAAGAAAAAATATATAATTTACAATTAATTATTTAAACAAAAATTTTTTTCCATTATTTGATATACTATCTTACCTGGATCTAAATTTACAACTCTATCCAAATTTAATAGTGATAAATTTTTTCCTTTTTTTAATTTACTAATTTTTTTAAAATTTAATTCAACAATTGATGCAATTTTTAATGCTTCAATTTTTGTGAAATTCCCATAAATTAAACATTCAATGTGACTTTTTTTAAATACTTGTGATACAAATTTTCGTAAATTTTTAATTGTTAATTCTAGAGGTAAAAGAAAAAAAAATACATTAATTAAACCTTTTAAAAAAATTAAAGAATTAAAACAAAAATTGAAATCAACAAAACTTACTATCACATGCTTTTAATAAATCGTCTTTATTCCACATATTTTCATTTAATAGAATTTCAAGATAAGAATGTGCTTCAAAATTAGATTCTTCAGACATATTTTTTAATTCTTTGATAAACTGTAAACAGAGTTCTATTTAAATATTTTACAAGAAAACAAAATTTTTAAGACTATAAACATAGTTTTTAAATAAAATATTGACTAACCATTTTTTTCAATTTTTCAAACATAGTTTTATCTATTTGAAAATTTATCATTTTGTCTATTATTTTCTCCAATAATACAAGTTGTTTATGATCATATCCTTCGATATATAACTAAAAAAAAATATATTAAAGGATAATTAAAGAAATAATAATTGATTAACCCCTCTCGAGTCGAAGTTAGATTTTAAACATTCAAAATGGCGGATCAAATATGAAGGAATTTATTTTTTAAATTGATTAAATTTGTTTTTTGATTCCTGATTTAATTAGGATTTAATAATTTAATGCTAAATTCGTAATTAGCAAGCGTAAAAACACCCAGATAACAAGTTTCAAGCAAATGCAAGTGATTGTTTCCAATTCGGCAGCCATATTGGATCTGCCATTTTGAATTTTAAAAAACTGACATCGGATTCGTAATCAGCGACCCCAAAAACCCCCGAGTGATAAGTTTCAAACGAATCCAAGCAATTTTTGCAAATTTGGACGCCATATTGGATTCGCCATTTTGAATTTTTAAAAACAGACATTGAATTCATAATTAGTATATTAATTTACATAAACTTTGGTCGTTTTAAAACTTTTGGATATTTTGAGACCATTTTCAGTACTTGGACCCTAAATCTCAAAGGGTTACAATTTTTTTTTTTTTTTTTTTTAAGTGACATTTATAAATGTTCTACTTACTGTTATACCATTTTTATTATTTATAAGTTCCCACTCTAAACCAGATAATTTAGCTGAATAAGAATAATCAGACATTGAATTTTGTACCAAATGAACAAACATGATGCAATAGTTAAAATTTTCTGGATTGATATTTGATAGTAGACTGGAAAAAAAATAATAATGATGAATTTGGTTTTTTGTAAATTATTAAAAATATTTCAGTCGTAAAAAATAATTTTAATTGCAAAAAAAAATATTTTTTTTTTCATGGACGTATAATACCCATCAAAATAGAAGGTTAAAATCCCTCTTGGTAGGAGAAATTCATCATCCTGCTTATACCAAACTCTCATCATTTGAGTATCTTGAATTATTTTAGGAAATTTTTCTACCTAAAAATTGAGGAACTTTAAATTTGAGGAATTTTTTATTTTACATTAATTAAAAATTAATTAAATTAATTACTAAATTAATAACACTGATAATTAGTAATTAATTATTCTTAGTAATAATCTACTTACAACAGATGTTGTGTCCAATTTTAAAGCAATTTCAAAAGGAATTAATTCATTTTTATCAGGTAATTTAAAATTACAATTATCACCTGCATTATTCCACTGTTCAATAATATTTTCTGGTATTTTGAGTTTTTCAAATTTTATCTTATACCAAGGCTCAACTTCTGTGGTGATATTTTCAAAATCTTGTGCCATTATTTTTACACGAATATTTTGTGGTTTTAAATAATGAATTATTAAATTAATTAGATTTGGTTCCCATTTTGTTAAAAAATATGGAGCACTCAATATTTCTTCAATGGGATATTCTTGCATGTCGTGTGCCACTTCTCGCACATGAGAAATTGGTAAAAAAAAATTTGGATTATTAAAATTCATTGTTTGCATAGACACATATTCCTGAAATTTTTTTTAAAAAAAAATGATAGAAAAAGAAAAATTTTAACTTATTTTTATAACTGGGAGTCGATTACGTAAATTCACTTTTCATTTTACTTTCACTAATTCTAAATTTTACTCTAATTTTCACTTTCACTAATAATTAACCCTATGGAAATGAAAATAAAAATAAAAATGTGAAATGTTTTACAAAGTTTCTAGAAGTTTCTAAAAAAAAGTTTCATGAAGTATTTAGAAAAATGACACAAATTCTTCATTTATAAAAAAACATTCTAAAAAAATAAAAATGAATAATTACATTAAATATCCATTGTGTGGGTCCAACTTTTTTGAGCATATTGATGTATTGAAAAATTAATTCTATAATTTCATCAATATAATCAATGCCTTTTTCAGTGAGTAAAATTTCAAAACTAAAAAAAGCAAAACCTTTTCCTGGTTGTGATTTCCCACAATTCAATGATGTACATAAATTTTTTTCCCTTAAAACTGAAATCAACGATCCTTTACCTTCATGTCCAAATAAATATGACAAATAAATTGTTGGCTGTAGAAAAATTAATTTATTTTTAAATTATTTACAAGAAATTCTTTATAGAAAAATTTAAACGAAATTAGAATTGAAAAAAATTTTCTTAATTTTATAAATATTTTTTTTTTTAGATTTAAATATATTTCTACTTTTTTCTTTTTAATTTTTTTTTATAAAATTAATGATAACAACTGAAATAAACTTACGCATGATCGATAATATTCATCTATATCCGGAATTGGAAATGTGACACTTAATTGTCTTGTATTATATATTGGAACAATATACCATTTATATTGAAAATGTTCCTCATTAAATGGATGTTCAATCCACTTGGGTGCCTCTATATTTTTATTTTTAACTTTTATAAATAATTTTGAAATTATTTTCTCAAGTTTGTCAATGTTCTCTGAAAAAAATATCATCTCATCTAGTAACAGTAACAGTAACAGTAACAGTAACAGTAACAGTAACAGTAACAGTAACAGTAACAATGTTAACAGTAACAATGTTAACAGTAACAATGTTAACAGTAACAATGTTATTGTTCTTGTTCTTGTTCTTGTTATTGTTCTTGTTATTGTTATTGTTATTGTTATTGTTATTGTTATTGTTATTGTTCTTGTTCTTGTTCTTGTTCTTGTTCTTGTTCTTGTTATTGTTATTGTTATTGTTATTGTTATTGTTATTGTTATTGTTATTGTTATTGTTATTGTTATTGTTATTGTTATTGTTATTGTTATTGTTATTGTTATTGTTATTGTTATTGTTATTGTTATTGTTATTGTTATTGTTATTGTTATTGTTATTGTTATTGTTATTGTTATTGTTATTGTTATTGTTATTGTTATTGTTATTGTTATTGTTATTGTTATTGTTATTGTTATTGTTATTGTTATTGTTATTGTTATTGTTATTGTTATTGTTATTGTTATTGTTATTGTTATTGTTATTGTTGCTAATGATAATAATTTTCTTCCTTAAATTTTTAAAATACCTTTTCCAAGAACGCATAGTGACATAATATTCGCAGAATACCATTTATTATAAAAATTTATCAATTCTTGACGAACATCAATTTTTTTTATCCTTGGAATTGTTTCCAAACTCTCTCTATTGCCAATATTAAAAAATGAATATGGATGTTTTGTATTTGCTGAGGATTTATCAAATTGTTCTAAACGCCAATCATCATTTAGTAAATTATCCTCAAATTCACAATGAATTGCTTCAATTTCTTGTTCGATTATTGAATCAATAAATTTTGGTTTTAAAAAACAATGAACGAATTTATCTAAAGCTTCCTCTAAAATTTCAGCATTTATGTCGAAATAAAAATTTGTATAATCGAGTCCAGTTGAAGCATTTGTTGAACCATCATTTTGTAAAATGTATGTATCAAAATAATTTCCATCACAATATTGTTTATTTAATGGGAGCATTATGTGTTCACATAAATGTGCTAAACCTTGTAAATCTAGTGGATCACTCATGGAGCCTTTTTTTTATATAAATAGAAAAAAAAATTTTTTGAGTTATAATTATTATTTATTAATTAGTCGTTAAGTAATATTAATAAGATGGAAATTATCATCTACTACAAGGAGTTCTTTATTATTTAATGATTTAATTACTTTACACGCTAATGACTTTAAAATTTTATTATAAGATAACCTAGAATATAGAATTTTAAGTCATTAACGTTAAGTTTATGTAATGTCTAGATATAGTTGCGCAAAGTTGATACAAGAAGATGGAAAATTTTCTTGTCATCTAAGATAAAAATTAGAATCAAGAAATTTACCAAAAAAAAGCAAACAAAAAATTTTAATTCTCAACTACTTTACATACCAATTTGAACATTCAAAGATGCTGCACTTTTATCTGTTGTTGGATCACTTATTAAAAGTATCTTCATTTGATTTCTTAATATAAGACCCCTATAATCCCTTTTATCATTTTGTGATTTAGTAATTTTGTCAAATCGTCGCTGAACGTAATCATCATGTTGATTTGGTGTAAACAAATCCATAGCAATAGAACGTTAATAAATCTACCAATATTTAATTTTTATAATTTTAATTTTTCAATTTTTAGAAAAATTCTAATTTTTCTAATTTTTTATACAAAATCGCAAATACATTGCCTCGATAATATAATTTTAGTAAAAATTAAGTGCACTTACCTCCGTACTATATTTAATTTATAAGGCGCAAAATCAAAAAAAATCCGTTGCACATTTTATTATCAAAAAAAAAAAAAAAAAAAAATTTCATAAAAAAAATTAATTAAAAACAGAAAAAATTTTGAACAAACAATGAAACAAATAAATTTTTGTTTTGACAAATAATTTTAAAGTATTCGAACACATAAATAATTTACTAGGTATAAAAAATTAGGATTAAATTTAAATTTATTATTAAAAAAACAAACTTTAGGAAAGTATTCTACATAAGAAAAATTAAATGATTTAACTTAAATGACACTCAAATAAAATATGACAGTAAAAAGATTAAAAAAAACTGTTCATGATCTTCATCGAAATAAACTATTAATATATATAATTACATTGTATAGAATTTTGAAGTAGAAATTAATTTAATTTTAATAGAGCAACATTAAATTTTTTTTATATGTTAATTTAATGTTACACTTATCAACTATATAAAAGTATATAAATAAATATAGGTTAAAAATTCTAAGTTTTAAACAATTTTTGAATTTTTATAGGAAATGAGAAAAAATAATTCTCAAAATAATAAATTTTAATTTTCTTGAATATTTTTTTTATTTCAATTTTTTTTAAATATTCAATTTACATAATTATTTTTACACACAATAGCAAAAAATTTCACAAAATTGTAAAATTAATGTCATAATATATTTAAATATAACATTACATAAAATGACAATACACTCTTTTAATTTGAAATTAATGTCCTAACATTATGAATAACAAACTAATTTAAATTTTTTTAAAAATAATATTCGACAAATTAAGAAAATTCTACAAACTATATAAGCAGTCCACCATATTGGACCTGCCATTTTGAATTTTAAAAAACTGACATCGGATTCGTAATCAGTGACCCCAAAAACACCCAAGTGACATGTTTCAAGCAAATTCAAGCGATTTTTGTAAATTCGGACGCCATATTGGATCCGCCATATTGGATCCGCCATTTTGAATTTTTAAAAACTGACAGCGGATTCGTAATCAGCGACGCCAAAAACTCTTATGTAACAATTTTCAAACGAGTCCAAGCGTTTTTTGTAAATATAGTCGCCATATTGGATCCGACATGTTGTATTTTAAAAAATTGAATTTGAATTCGTTTTCAGCAACCACAAAAATCCCTATATAACACGTTTCATAAAAATTCACAAAAGTCGTGTAATTTCAACAATTAATTAATTTAATTTATTTATAAAAAATTTATTAATAATAGTGACAGTTGTTTTAGAATATATTTATAACTTTCAACATAAAATTTATGTGATCTTAAACGCAGAGGCCTTTTATAAACACTATATTTTAAAAATTAAAGAAATTATAATTTGTTTAAACATTTAAAAAAAATTTTGTTAATACGACCACTGATATTTCGTTAACATTAAATAATGTTATGTTGAATAAAAGTTTATTAAAATCTTTCAGTAATTTGTAGGGTTTTAAATTAACTGATGTCCTTGTCATCATTTTAGAGAGGTCATTTTGGATTTTAAAATAATCATCACTACTTATCATATAACCATTGGAAGGTTTTAAAATTTTTTGCTTCTTATCAAAATCAGTCTGATCTTTAATATCAACCTGCACTTTACCATTTGAAATTCAGTTTAGGATTTAAAATATTTATCGATTACAATTTCAACACCAAAAATTAAAACTGAACAAGAATATCCAAAAAGAAGAAGAATAATCAACAATTTTGAAACTTTAGACGTCACGGAGAGTTCTTGCTTAAATAGATCAACATGATTTTCTTGATTAATCAACTTAGGAATATATTTATTATCCCACTTGATACTGATACCACTTTCCATAAAGACCGACATAATACGATCAAATCGATTCCTGTAAGGAGAACCATCTTCAAGATATATTCCACTTGGCCATAATCCTGAAACTTCTTTTATAATTTTTACTTTTTGCTCTCCGTTGGTATTACGCCTCGTTCGAAAATACAAAAGTGCTAAATGTTCCCTACATGAATAGGTAATATTTCGATTGACAATCAAATATTCTAACCATTTATCAAGGGGATCTTTCGAAACGATTGCATTCATTGTTAACTTTTGAAAAGGATCCTTCTCATCAAATATTCCATCTTCAGTAAGATTTTGATTTAGAATAAGTGTCAAATGAGCGTCAACTAAATCTTGAAATGTATCCATTGTTCGAAAAGTTTTTTTCTTCAATTGCATTTCTGATAGACTACTAAATATGAACGTTGACTGCAGAAAGTAGAAGAATAACAGTGACGAGAAAATTATTCTTTCCATTATTTTTTCTGGCATTTTTGGAATAGAGGATCCTAGTACCATTTGAATAGTATACATCATTGTCCAATTTTGACGATCAAAATTAAAGTACCTGGCTATTAATACTGGTATCAAAAAGAGAGATAAAATAATGCTTAGATTAAATAGTTGTAATTCGTTTGTGAAAATTGCAACATCACTTGGCAAAATTGGTGCTGGAGCAACGAATCTAAATAATCTTGTACCTTTTGAAATAGCTACAAAATTGTTTAAGCATGTATCGTAGAATGCAGATTGAATAGCAATAAATTGAATTTCATTGTGAATTGTTTTATTCATAATGCCGACATTTTTAACTTTATTACAATTTATTATATCCCAGTTTGAAGTATTTGAAATCACTATCTCCAAGGTAAAATTTAAATACTTTGACATCACGACCATCCAATTAATGTCTGGCCCTTCAACGTTTAGAACATGTCCTGTTGAATTGCGTTTAACGTAGACGTAAGGTGGATAGTGAAATATTCCTGCTTTTATTTGATAACCGTTTAAATCACGAAGTTTGTTAGGAAACAAAATGCTCTTTTTTGAGAATTTTTTTATAACAGATATTCCAGTGAATGGATTGTAATGGTGTAGTTTAGCAATTTCGCGATTCGAGTTTCCTGGAAAAATTTCTTTAACCTCTAAGATTGAGAGATCCAAAAATTGTTTAGACCACAATTGATGAAAGAAATTTTGATATGTTGCGCGTTTTTTAACTTTTGTTATAATCAGTACCTTGGGACGTGGATGTGGTGTTGATAACTCAACAATAGATCTCATAACATTGTAAATATTTGATAAATTTTGATTGGAATTTCTGCTGGAAACAATAAGAATCAACGTTGTCTGAAGTAGAGGAAATATCAGCATCCGTTGATTGTTAAAATTTGTAATATTCCTAAAATCAGCAATTTGTGTTGGTTTAATTCGGGAAACATTTTTCGCAATTTGATAAATTCCACTGTTGTTGAAATCGGCTTCATACAATAACAGCAGTTGATCAATTTTAGTATCTTGTTTAAGGATTGTTACTAAATAATCACACCAATCATAACGTGTGATAAATGTTTTTCCATAGATGTAACCGAGTCCGCAAAAAGTTGCAATTAAAATGTTTATAATAAATTTCATATTGTATATATATCAAAAAAATATGTAGTTGAAAATTTTTGTTAGCAATGACAGTTTTTTAAACACTTAAGATTACAAATTTAATAATGAAGAATTTCTAATTGCGTGAATTATATAAGTACACTTCATCTACTTACTGAATAAGACTGGAGGAACTGCGTATTTTAACTTTAACGATAAAGGTCATAACTGTCGATCGATTCCTGTTCAAACTTTATGTTGATTACAATGTTTAAGTTTTCATCAAATAAAGAATATGTTTATGTAATCAGTCTGATCTTTATTGTTAACCTGCACTTTACCATTTGAAATTCAGTTTAGGATTTAAAATATTTATCGGTTACAATTTCAACACCAAAAATTAAAACTGAACAAGAATATCCAAAAAGAAGAAAAATAATCAACAATTTTGTAACTTTAGACGTCACGGAGAGTTCTTGCTTAAATAGATCAACATGATTTTGTTGATTAATCAACTTAGGAATATATTTATTATCCCACTTGATACTCATACCACTTTCCATAAAGACCGACATAATACGATCAAATCGATTCCTGTAAGGAGAACCATCTTCAAGATATATTCCACTTGGCCATAATCCTTCTACTTCTTTTATAATTTTTACATTCTGCTCTCCGTTGGTATTACGCCTCGTTCGAAAATATAAAAGTGCTAAATGTTCCCTACATGAATAGGTAATATTTCGATTGACAATCAAATATTCTAACCATTTATCAAGGGGATCATTCGAAACGATTGCATTCATCCTTAACTTTTGATAAGGATCCTTCTCATCAAATATTCCATCTTCATTAAGATTTTGATTTGTAATAAGTGTCAAATGAGCGTCAACTAAATCTTGAAATGTATCCATTGTTCGAAAAGTTTTTTTCTTCAATTGCATTTCTGATAGACTACTAAACATGAACGTTGACTGCAGCAAATAGAAGAATAACAGTGACGAAAAAATTATTCTTTCCATTATTTTTTCTGGAATTTTTGGAATAGAAAATCCTAGTACCATTTGAATAGTATACATCATTGTCCAATTTTGACGATTAAAATTAAAATACCTAGCTATTAATACTGGTATCAAAAACAGAGAAAAAATAATGATTAGATTAAATATATGTAATTCGTTTGTGAAAATTGCAACATCACTTGGTAAAATTGGTGCTGGAGCAACGAATCTAAATAATCTTGTACCCTTTGAAATAGCGACAAAATTGTTTAAACATGTATCGTAGAATGCAGATTGAATAGCAATTAATTGAATTTCATTGTGAATTGTTTTATTCATAATGCCGACATTTTTAGCTTTGTTACAATTTATTATATCCCAGTTTGAAGTATTTGAAATCAATATCTCCAAGGTGAAATTTAAATACTTTGACATCACGACCATCCAATTAATGTCAGGCCCTTCAACGTTTAGAACATGTCCTGTTGAATTGCGTTTAACGTAGACGTAAGGTGGATAGTGAAATATTCCTGCTTTTATTTGATAACCGTTTAAATCACGAAGTTTGTTAGGAAACAAAATGCTCTTTTTTGAGAATTTTTTTATAACAGATATTCCAGTGAATGGATTGTAGTGGTGTAGTTTAGCAATTTCGCGATTCGAGTTTCCTGGAAAAATTTCTTTAACCTCTAAGATTGAGAGATCCAAAAATTGTTTAGACCACAATTGATGAAAGAAATTTTGATATGTTGCGCGTTTTTTAACTTTTGTTATAATCAGTACCTTTGGACGTGGATGTGGTGTTGATAACTCAACAATAGATCTCATAACATTGTAAATATTTGATAAATTTTGATTGGAATTTCTGCTGGAAACAATAACAATCAACGTTGTATGAAGTAGAGGGAATATCAGCATCCGTTGATTGTTAATATTTGTAATACTCCTAAAATCAGCAATTTGTGTTGGTTTAATTCTGGAAACATTTTTTGCAATTTGATAAATTCCACTGTTATTGAAATCGGCTTCATACAATAACAGCAGTTGATCAATTTTAGTATCTTGTTTAAGGATTGTTACTAAATAATCACACCAATCATAACGTGTGATAAATGTTTTTCCATAGATGTAACCGAGTCCGCAAAGGATTGCAATTAAAATTTTTATAATAAATTTCATATTGTATATATATAGTTGAAAATTTTTTTTAGCAAATGAGAGTTTTTAGATTTCTAGATTACAAAAATAATTAAGAATTTTTAATTGAGTGAAATATTTTAGTACACTTTATCTACTAACTGAATAAGACTGGAGGAACTGCGTATTTTAAGTTTAACGATAAAGGTCATAACTGTCGATCGATTCCTGTTCAAACTTTATGTTGATTATAATGTTTAAGTTTTCATCAAATAAAGAATATGTTTATGTAATCAGTCTAATCTTTATTGTTAACCTGCACTTTACCATTTGAAATTCAGTTTAAAATTTAAAATATTTATCGGTTACAATTTCAAAACCAAAAATTAAAACTGTAGAAGAATATCCAAAAAGAAGAAGAATAATCAACAATTTTGTAACTTTAGACGTCACGGAGAGTTCTTGCTTAAATAAATCAACATGATTTTGTTGATTAATTAACTTAGGAATGTATTTATTATCCCACTTGATACTGATACCACTTTCCATAAAGACCGACATAATACGATCAAATCGATTCCTGTAAGGAGAACCATCTTCAAGAAATATTCCACTTGTCCATAATCCTGCTACTTCTTTTATAATTTTTACTTTCTGCTCTTCGTTGGTATTACGCCTCGTTCGAAAATACAAAAGTGCTAAATGTTCCCTACATAAATAGGTAATATTTCGATTGACAATCAAATATTCTAACCATTTATCAAGAGAATCTTTCGAAACGATTGCGTTCATCCTTAACTTTTGATAAGGATCCTTCTCATCAAATATTGTATCTTCATTAAGATTTTGATTTGTAATAAGTGTCAAATGAGCGTCAACTAAATCTTGAAATGTATCCATTGTTCGAAAAGTTTTTTCCTTTAATTGCATTTCTGATAGACTACTAAATATGAACGTTGACTGCAGAAAGTAGAAGAATAACAGTGACGAGAAAATTATTCTTTCCATTATTTTTTCTGGCATTTTTGGAATAGAGGATCCTAGTACCATTTGAATAGTATACATCATTGTCCAATTTTGACGATCAAAATTAAAGTACCTGGCTATTAATACTGGTATCAAAAAGAGAGATAAAATAATGCTTAGATTAAATAGTTGTAATTCGTTTGTGAAAATTGCAACATCACTTGGCAAAATTGGTGCTGGAGCAACGAATCTAAATAATCTTGTACCTTTTGAAATAGCGACAAAATTGTTTAAGCATGTATCGTAGAATGCAGATTGAATAGCAATAAATTGAATTTCATTGTGAATTGTTTTATTCATAATGCCGACATTTTTAACTTTATTACAATTTATTATATCCCAGTTTGAAGTATTTGAAATCACTATCTCCAAGGTAAAATTTAAATACTTTGACATCACGACCATCCAATTAATGTCTGGCCCTTCAACGTTTAGAACATGTCCTGTTGAATTGCGTTTAACGTAGACGTAAGGTGGATAGTGAAATATTCCTGCTTTTATTTGATAACCGTTTAAATCACGAAGTTTGTTAGGAAACAAAATGCTCTTTTTTGAGAATTTTTTTATAACAGATATTCCAGTGAATGGATTGTAATGGTGTAGTTTAGCAATTTCGCGATTCGAGTTTCCTGGAAAAATTTCTTTAACCTCTAAGATTGAGAGATCCAAAAATTGTTTAGACCACAATTGATGAAAGAAATTTTGATATGTTGCGCGTTTTTTAACTTTTGTTATAATCAGTACCTTGGGACGTGGATGTGGTGTTGATAACTCAACAATAGATCTCATAACATTGTAAATATTTGATAAATTTTGATTGGAATTTCTGCTGGAAACAATAAGAATCAACGTTGTCTTAAGTAGAGGGAATATGAGCATCCGTTGATTGTTAAAATTTGTAATATTCCTAAAATCAGCAATTTGTGTTGGTTTAATTCGGGAAACATTTTTCGCAATTTGATAAATTCCACTGTTGTTGAAATCGGCTTCATACAATAACAGCAGTTGATCAATTTTAGTATCTTGTTCAAGGATTGTTACTAAATAATCACACCAATCATAACGTGTGATAAATGTTTTTCCATAGATGTAACCGAGTCCGCAAAAAGTTGCAATTAAAATGTTTATAATAAATTTCATATTGTATATATATCAAAAAAATATGTAGTTGAAAATTTTTGTTAGCAATGACAGTTTTTTAAACACTTAAGATTACAAATTTAATAATGAAGAATTTCTAATTGCGTGAATTATTTTAGTACACTTCTTCTACTTACTGAACAAGACTGGTGGAACTGCGAATTTTAAGTCTCACGCTAAAGGTCAGATTTGTCAATCGATTCCTTTTCAACCTTTATATTGATTATAATGTTTAAGTTGTCATTAAATAAAGAATATGTATTTTTTTATATCTGAACTAGATTTTTTGATTCCATTTTCTTAGACAAATAGAAATACTGAATTACGTGAAATTTTTATTTTAAATTTTCAGGCTCAATATTAAATTCCAAAATTTGACCTCTCCTTATTATTGTTAATAGCAAAGGTCCTGTTCCATCAAGTGCTTCATAAATATTTCTAGTTGAATTAACAGGTGTACTATTGGCATGGGTGATAATATCACCATTCTCTAAACCACCTAAGTCAGCTGGTGAACCTTCCATTATTTTCCAAATTAGAACTCCATGTTTAATGAGCTGAAAACCACTTCCGATGATGTGTTGCATATCAAAAATAATTTCTGGAATAAGAGTGAACATTGTAATTCCCAAATATCTCTTCCTTTCTAGTTCTTCATTCTTAAACTGTTGAATTGAAAAAATTTTCCCTTTTCTCTTTGCCTCAGACTTTCGCAAAAATTCTTTGGCATAGTCTACTGGAATAGCAAACGAAATTCCTGGAGTCACTTTCATTGCATTTATTCCAATAACTTCACCCTCAAGATTCACTAGAGGTCCTCCAGAATTTCCAAAAGTAATTGCTGCATCAGTTTGAATATAACTCATTTGATTGTGAGAAATTCCTAATTCTTCACTTCGTCTATTTGGACTACTGACAACACCGCTTGTAATGGAGTTACTTAAGGAAAGTGGAGATCCAATTGCTACAACAAATTCTCCTGGTCTTAAATTTTTTGAATTTCCTAATTTTATAACAGGCAAATTTTTCTTATTTATTCTCAATGTCGCAAGATCTGATTCCAAATCAATGTCTTCAACAACTGCATCGTAAGTAAATCCATCCAAAAGTCGTACCGTGACAGAAAGATTTGATTTCTTCATGACAATCATAACAACATGAGCATTTGTAAGTATTAAACCATCTTGCCTAACTATGAATCCAGATCCATTAGCAAAAACTGAAGGATTTTTTGCTGAAATACCAGATTTTTTGGAATCTTTTACTTGTACCAATACAACTGATGGTGCACAAATTTCGACGACGTCAGCAATAAAATTATATTTACTTCTATTTTGGCTAATGTCATAAAGGTTAAATTGTACGGAACTGATGCCTGATAGAAAAAAATTAAAAACATCATGTGCAGATGGAAAATCATATTCTTTTGATTTAAAAAAAGTGTAGCCAAGAGCTGTACTGAAAATGAAGGTACAAAGTAGAAAACCTGGATATTTAGATGGCTTTCTTGCTTGTCTATTGTGCATTGAATAAAATCGAATTTGATTCTTTACAGGTAGAGTTGAAATTCGTAATCTAATATTTGTACACAAAAACTGCGTTGCTTTAAAGAATGACATTATAAATTGATCTTGATAACAAATTTTATCCTTTTTTAGTTCCCATTTCCAAATAATATTGATAAAATTCACATTTTCTTGAATTTGAAATCAATTTCTGAAATAGTTAGTTTTTTAGTTTCAAAATTTTTTAAATATTATATCAACAAAAGTTATTATTAAATAAATTATATTACGGATGATAAATTTATTTTAAAATTAGTCATACTTGAAAATACTCGAGAATTTTAATCAAATTTAATTATTTATAATAAACAAATAGTAGGTTAAATGTAGTGAATTGAAGTCTTGAGACATTCTGTGAGACGAAGCACTGGAGGTTAAGTTTACAATGTGACATTATCGATATATATAGACTGTATAATTTTATCGATTATGGTATTCACCTTTGTAGTTTTTCATATTTAATTTTTTAGCATTAAAAGAAAAGAAACTACATGATGAAGTTACGCTGATAACAAATTTCTAACTAGTTTATTTTTATTTTTCTCTTACAATAAATTTTGACATTGAAAACTATTCCTGGTCATTTCTTTTAATAAAAACATATGTAAAATAATAATGTTTAAATTACTATCTTATGTTTTATTGTTTGTTTAAAAAATTATTTACTTTTAATTAAATATGTATTATGTGTTCTACCTCCGCCCCTGTCGGCATAAGATAGTTGACCTTGATTCAACATATATAAAAGAGTAATTTAGACTCATTTCTTAATTTCTTATCTTTAAATATATTCCATCAGTTCACATTATTAAAATGAGGTTTATGTTATTTCTCATTTTTGCTGTAACATTTTCAATAATATCTATTAGCACAGATGGTAATTATTTATTTCTTTTATTTAACTAAATTATCAACTAGTTTATTTAACTAATTATATAATTTTATTAATAAAAATTAATTTAATCTCAAATATAAATGATATCATAACAAAATTAAACTTTAAATTTTTTAAAATTATAAGCAATTATTGCTGATTATTTTATCATTTAGACTTTCTGTAGTTTAGTTAAATTTTTTATTTTTTCGATTTTCCGATTAGTTGCAATTAATCAGTTTTGGAATATATGATTCAAAGTACATGGACAGCAGTAAAATATTTTTTAAATCTTTTACGTGACCCACAAACAGATTATATTTTCAGCATATAAACCGTATATAAACTTTTGTCGACTAATGTATTTATTTTGCAAACAAGTTTCACTTCAAAGTAGATGAACTACTGTTTTCACTTTAAAACGAAAATATTACTTTTTTTCTTTTCTATAATTATATATAAGTCTCTCAGCAGCAACGGTATTAAATTTTAATTATATAATAGTTTTGTAAATAGATTATTTGTTATGAACAATTTTCTAAAAGTAAAGTTTTTTGAGCTAGTTTGATTAAACTAAAAAGATCTTACATTTAAACTATTAAAACAAATGAGTCTAAAAAATATTTAAAAGAGTTTATTTTACTTTTTATTAAAAGCACACGATGCCGATGTCACGGATAAAGCAGCTAACCTACAATCAAGGAAATCTGAGCAGGATAACATGGAAATAGGATACCAAATTCACTTATTAGACAAAAATGATCCTACGTACTCTGGGAACAATTCTATCCCGTCAGACTCTCTTGTTTACAAAGTCTTTGCTGGATATCAGTCAGGAAATGGTAATATCAAATTGAATATTATCAATGTTTGTATTTTTATCAAATTAAAAAAATGGAAATAGTATACATAATATATGTTTTGACCACAAAGAAATTAGGGCGCATGAGTATCGAATAAGAATTATTATCTAGAATTTTCATTTTCAACAATTTTATTAGGTATAATTATTTTTCAGACGATTTTTAATTTTTCCAATTAACATTTGTCAGAATTTCTTTTTGAAAGAATTTTTAATTAACGGAATTTTCAGGTACCAAATTTCTATTTCGTAGAAGTCTTAAAACGCTGAATTTTTATTTGCCTGAAATTGCATGTTCCGTTTAGATGATTTTCTTTCAATTCGAGTAGAATCTCGATATTAAAAAACATTAACAAATATTCTTTCTCTTTTTCCGTGACATTAATCACCTTTGAAGGTGAAGTTTTAATTTAAAGTATACACAAAAATAATATATTGCTTATAGAAATGAAAGAAGTGACACCACAAATGAGGCAGTATAAAAATGGAAACATTATCGCTGGTGCTGGTTATTCAGGAGATACGCAACAAATAGTTCCACAAGTATGTTACAACGCAACTGTGTCATCCACTTCTGAACAACAAGCGTACATTCAATTAGATACTTCAATATCTTATTTAGAATTAGAAAGTAAATTGGGAATATCTGTAAGTATTAGTGGAAAGTATGAAATGTTCTCTGCAGAAGCAAAAGCAAGTTACATAAGATCTGTTCAAGATAGGGATTATGCAACATCATTAAATTATTATGAGTACGCTACAAATAATGTCGCAGTACAACTTGCTGGGTATGGTGATAAAGCATTGACTGAATCTGGGAAAGGTTTTTATAACGATGGTAAAAATCCATATTTCGGGCTGTTGTGTGGTGATCATTATATTACTTCTTATCAACAGGGCGCATTATTGATCATGGGGCTGAATATTAAATTTAGCAATTCTCAGGAAAAAAAAGAATTTGAAGCAAAAGTTGGTACTGCGTTTGGCAATATTGTTAGCGCTGCAGAGAAAATACAAAGTATTTCTACTATGTACAAAATTAGTGGTTCTGTTGTAATACAAGCCTTTCAAATTGGAGGAGAACCTAGTCAAATTTCTAAAATATTAAATAAAGATAGCACTGGTCAGTACTATGCTCTGACATGTAGTCTGTTAACAATGGCTAACTGTATAAAAGCAGCCAGTGGTTTATTGGATTATGGAAAAGATGAATTTTCAAAACAATTTTCTTTTAAAAATAATACAGGATTAACACCACTTGGTATTGCTTTTAGTCAGTACTATCCAATTGAGTATATTGGTCTTATTTCTCCTGCCTCTTTAGTCACTACAGAAGTCATAAAATATCGCGATGAACTAACTAGTAAACTCAAGGAAAATGATTACTATCAACAAAAACTTTATCCTTTTTTTAATATGGGATATCCGATAGAGTTAGAAGCTGCCTTTGTTAATAACGCAAATTCAGTACTTTCTAAAGCAAATAATAATATACGTATACTAATGAAAGCACATAAAGGAGCTGCTGATTGTTTTAATTTACCAGATAAATGCAAAAGCATAAAAGATAGTATAGATTCGCAACTTGAAAATATTACAATAAGTGATTTAAAATTTTTAGAATATATAAAATATACAATCACTATTTTTGGTGGTATGTTATACAATAAAGGCAGAAATCATGACACATATTCATGGGTTGCTGTACCTAATAATAAACCTGGTCAAGAACGACTTCAGAAGGTTAATTATATATTTATTACAGATAAAAAATTAGAATATGATACTGACAATCATATTCCAGTAACTTCAGATTTATATCAAGTAAAATTTACAGGCGACATAAATTCTAGCGGTACACAATATGTAGGCACTATGTGCTCTCGAGTTAAAAGATTTGATTGGAATCCTTGTCAGAGAGGTTATCCAGAAAGAAAGTTAATATCTCCATTTTTCTTTGAGGCTTACAATATTACTCTATTAATCGATTAAAGATTATTTATATATATATATATTATTTCTATATATCAATATATCAATGGTCGAGAAACTTCTTCAAGAAGCTTGTCCGCAGCACAATTTATTATATAAATATATAATAATAATATTGTTAAGCGACCTTTATATGGGTCATAGATCTATTCTTCTTAATTGACTTGGCCAAAATTCATACTCTAAATTATACATATTCTTCTGAACAACCTGATGCAGTCAATTGTGAAGCATATAAATGCTCCAAATGGCCTGACATGTAGTCAATTTTTAGAAATAACCACAAACACTTATTAATTGTTTATTGAAAATATCACTTACCTTGATACACAAAACAAACAATTCTTAGCAAAATTATAAAATTTAATGTTTATATTAAAGTTTAGAATAGAAATTAAAATAAAAATAATACTTAAACTAATCAATAAAAATACATATAACATTTATTTATCTTTAACATTAAAACGAATATGTATTATAGTCCGAGTTGTACGACCATTTCAATTTCAAAATAAATATAGCGAGGACATTATAAGCAAAACATTGTATTTAACATTTGTACAAATTACATAATAAATAGTTGTACAATATAAAATTACTTAAAAAATACAAAAATGTCCTTACAATACAAAATAATATTTGAATACAAAATAATATTTGTATACAAAATGAAAATAAGATACGTAATAATATTACAAAATAAATTAAATAATAATATAGATGTAAATACTTAATAATAAAATAAATATAATAGCATACAGTTAAAAAAAGAAAAAAATACATTAATTTATACAAATACTAATATAATTTGCTTAAAAAATTACATATTTACAAAGTTAAAATTTTTTAAGTATTTTACTTTATGTTAATGAATTACATGGAAGCCTTGTGGAATAGAGTAAATTTCTTTTACTGGAGGTACGTGGAAGTTATCTACTGGATCAATTTGCTGAGGAAAATGTGGGGACTGGAAATATTGTTGAAGAATTTTTATTTGGGATTGCAAGGAAGAAGATTGTGGATCAATTTGATCAAAGGTAGGAAAGAAGGGAAATTGCTGTTGAAATTGTTCAGAGGTAGAGAAGGAATGGAAAATATGTATAGCATTCTGGGGTTCAGCCATTTGCACAGCAGAATTGCTATACAGAGAAGGCATCGATACATCAGGTCTTATCATTTTAGCCGCCCAGAAGCGATCTTGTTGAGGATTTCGCACGTGCCGTTTTTGGCAATTCTTATGTTGGCAAGGCGTTTTCCTTTTCTGATGCTCCTTCTTGAATTGGACTTCAGATTTCGCTTGAATCTTCATTGAATTAAGCCGATTTGGAGTTGCAGCTTTGTTCTGCATTTCAATTTCCGGATGAAATATTAATTCATCCTTCAATTTTGCCAATTCAGCAGCTAAAAGTAGAAATAGTTTATCATCATCATAACTACTTTGCCGCTTCCTTGACTTTGAATTGCAGAACTGCGTCGAAGTTGTTGTAACGTCGAATGCCGCAAGTTCATTTTTCATTTCTGAAATTAATAAATAAGTTTTAAAGATCAAATACAAAAAAACCCAGTGTAATCGACTGAGAAAGAAAACAAGAAAAAGAGATATAATTTTCAAAGAATATAAATTATAGAGCGTTAAATTTAATTTTTAATATGCCAAAAAATTCAATTCGCTGAGAGAGAAATCGTTAGTCGAAGCCTAATTTTAAATAGGGCAAAGTGAGAAAATTTCTGCACTGGTATTTAAACAAAATACATTTATGAAGGGATTCAATATTAACACTTACCAATTTTAGAAATTGCCTTCTCTAATATTTCGGCTTGCTCCAAAAACAGATTCTCCTCCTGAACAATCGCTTCAGCGGTCCCAAAATTGTTGGACGTCACCGATCCAGAACCAAAATCTTCAAGCTGCCGATGAGGGGTTACATCATCAGCTGTTGGAGTCACAAAGGAGGTCATGATTGTTCCAAAATTAAAGATGGATTCCATTTTATCTGTTGGTACAAATAAAATTGGTTATTGAAGTTTTTTAAATTATCATATATTTGTCAAAAGAAAAAATTTACGTAACATTTTTTTTATAAAAGTCTAAAAAAAAGATTTTTTTAAAAATTAGATACAATAATTTTTAGCAAAGATATATATGGTCAATTGTTTAAAAAATAGCCCTTTCTTTAATTAATAAAATAATTCGAGAACAGTTGTTGTTTAGAAAAAATATTTCTTTTTATAGGTAGAATTAGGAAAAAATCAATTTGCTTCCTCATATATATATATATATATAATATATTGTAAAAGAATATAAATAAATAAAATATAAAATTATTAAAAAGAATTTTTTAAATAGCATAGAATATATAACGAATACAAGAAAATTCATAAAAAATCTATTGTATTCATTTTGTTTTCTTCTCTAATGTTTACATAAGAAGCCCATTATATGGACACAGCCTTAAGGCCATGTGATTGTTCTGACTTCATTTGTCATTATACTCAGCAACTCTCTCACAAAATACTCGATGGATTAAGGTAAAATTTTGTAGTGAGATTAAAAATAGAATAAAGATTATTTGTAATGCGCTAAATTATATTAATATTTTGTCAACTCAATCTATCGAATATTTTACGAGAAATTCTATATGGAAAACAATTTCATATGGAATTTCAACGATCACATGACCTTAAGCTGGTTATAATAGTTTTATTAAATTTTAATTTTTTGAAACATATTTTTAAGAACCCAACTCAAGTGCCATTAAGGGAATATTCAAATAACAATTTATAACACATTTCCATGATTTTATTACTTTAAAAAATCAATATAACTGTGGAATATTCCCTTAATATCACTGGAATATTCATTGAATTTTTTTCAATATTTTAATTTTAACAATAAAATCATTAAATTTTTACTAGATGAGCAAAGTGTGGTGGTAGTTGACGAGCATTATGATAAATGGCGAGTGGGGACAATGGAAACCAACCTTTACATGGCTGCGTTGAAAGCTGACTCTACATTAGGGATATAAAATCATGACGTCACAAAATAATATGGCCGTCGACAGCGGGGTCAGTTTGTGGCAAATACATGTGAATTCACAGAAAATTAAAAAAATTATTTGATATCAGAAAAAGAAAATGTCATTTGAAAAGGTCCATTTTCTGAATATTTATATGAGAATAATTTTTCAATTTGATATAGAATTGGAAGCAGAAAATCTAAGTTCTATGTTGACACAAGCTTTGTATAATCAAAAACAGAACAATATTGCTTGATTTTTGTTTCTTTTGGGCTAAATTTCATTCACTGAATGTTTTCCTCTTTTTTAGAATCAATTATTTTTATAATTACTTTAATTTGAACAAAACTTTTAGATTAGAAATTGTGAAACTCAACGTTAGCACGTGTAAACAAACGTGAAATTTTGAATTTGACCACGTTAAATTAGTTTCAGAATCTGCCACCAGATAGCGTGTTGCAGTATTTCAGATCCCTAACGTGCTGTCGTCACACATAAGGCAGTTCAACTTGTGAGATAACGTGACAGCATTTTTCAAAATAGCGGCTTATCGGAAGACATACACTGCATTGAAGTCATTGAAGCGAATCAGTTTTTTGAAAATAACTTTTCAAAAAATAATTTTTGAATCCAAGTGTAATGGTAAAATATTTTTTATTTATCAAGATCTATTTTTTAAAACACTAAAATTAAAAAATTAATTTTTATTATTTTAAAAAATAGATGTCGATAAATAAAAAATATTTTACAATTACACTTGTGTTTAAAAATAATTTTTTCACACGTTATTTTTAAAAAACTGATTCGCTTCATTGATTTCAATGCATTGCATGTCTTCCGACGAGCCGTCATTTTGAAAAGTGACGGCACGCTATGTCACAAGTTGAATTGCCGTTGTGCAGAGATGGGTAAAAGTGCTTTTCTGGAAGTTTTCAACGTATAATACATAAATGACGTATTATACGTATAATACTGTAGAAAACCAGGTTTTCGACATTGTAGCCGCATCAATGGCAACATAACCTCTTTTGTTATTTACTTTCTGGTTTATTGTTGATAAATAAGTATTAATTAATAAATAAAATAGTTAAATATTGGTCAATTGAGAACTTTCAGTTGAGTTAAATAATATTATTCTATTTGCAATAATTTCGTAAAATTTTTTAACATTTTAAATGTGCTTCCGTTCTCACTTTAGAAGAGAAATACTAATATAATTTAAATTTTATCAAAGCATCGATAATTAATTTTTTACAATATCAGAACTTTTGAAAACTGGAAATTCGAAACAAGCAGATTGAGGGTTATGTTTCTCAAAATTAGGCTTATGTATAATACACACGTAGAAAATTCATGTATAATACGTGTATACAAAAATCCCAATTCGGAAACGGCCTATGAGTCACCATAACCTGCAATTAGGCTGTGTCAGTTCATCGAGATATTTCGAGTTCGAGTATGACGTCAGATAGCTGGAGGGAAAAAAACAGACGACACAATGTTAATCTTAAGGCGCTCTCACACCTTTTTGGCTGCCTGCAGGTTACCATGGCAATGCAAGAGAGTGAGTGCGACAGAAAATTGAAAAATTTGAATATTCAAATTTTCTGTCTCACTTACACTCGTGCGTTGCCATGGTAACCTGCAGGCAGGCAGCCAAAAAGGTGTGAGTGCGCCATTATGGGAAAAAACGTTGTTATAGGGTAACTGAGGGTATTCCTGCGGGTGTACCAATTGCTGCAGTTTTTATAAAGTTATTATTATTTATCATTTATGAATATATGATTTGTTCAAAATAACTGCAAAAATTATTCTACATCTTATTTGAAAGACTATAACTGAATTTCCATGAAATTATGGAATATGGCAGCCATGAACACTTATCAGAAAACGTTTATATTTTCAACATTTTCAATAATATACACAATTTAGTGTTACTATTCAATAAAGTAGGCTTTATTATTTTAAATAAATATTTAGTTACTCATTTTTTATTTGTTTATAATTAATATTTCTTAAAACTGTATTACCAGCAATATTTTCATTGCTTGTGGGTATTCCTGCGATTTTTAAATACGTTCACTGCGCAACTCTTCGCAATAAAGACATAACCTAACTTCTTTGTTGACGTTACCGGTCACTCAGATCATTGTGTCATGCGCAGCCTGATTTTCTACAGTTATACCCGCACAGGAATTGGTGTTTGGTTAGTAAATGCCTCACAGGAATACCGACATCTCAACAACAATACCCTCATTTACAATTATTTTTTAATTGATATTTTTAAATGCAGGAAGTGCCCAATAAACCTAACTTTAATTTATTAGCAGCATGTAATAATAAAACTTTCATTTGTAATTGAAATAACGACATTTGGTTTAAAAATGAGCTCAGACAAGCTTTGCAAAGTTAACCTACACTGAAAATCAGCAGAATTAATCACAGTTACCCTATGTATATTTGATTCAATTGCATTGGTAGATTCTCTGAATGCGTGATTAAATATAACTTTTGAGGTTAATTTATATATATGGGGGATCACACGTGAAGTGATCAAGGTTCAAAAAAATTTTTCTCCGATCACGCTTAAACTCGGGGTATTTGTAGTACTCATAGATGTTGAAAGTACGATTTTTTTAAAACGAAAGCTGAGGTATTTTCCTACAAAAATATATAGTTAAAAAAATTGGTCAAAAATGATTAAATATTGATAATTAAAATTTTTTTGCTTTTTTTTGACCTTTTATAATAATTTTTTTTTACTATTTTTCAATATCATTCTTGTCCCATTTTTTCAATTATATATTTTTGTAGGAAAAAATCTCAGCTTTCGATCAATAAAAAAATTGAACCTTTTACCTAGAAAAAATCAAATTAATATTTAAGTTTCATTTTCTTTCAAAAATGCATATTACCAATGGAATGAGTATCATAAAAAACTTTCGAAACTGATGTTGATAAAAAATTTTATTTCGATATTTAAATGAAAAAAATAATTACAAATAAGCAATTTTTTCCATTTGATCACTAATTAGATAATTAATTTTTTTTCTCTTAAATATCGAAATAAATTTTTTTTATCAATATCAGTTTCTAAAACTTCTTTGTTGCTCTTTGGCTTGGTAATATGCATTTAAAAAAAAAATTAAACTCTAATATAAACTTGACTTTTTCTAGGTGAAAGGTACGATTTTTTTAAATCGAAAGCTGAGGTTCTTTCGTATAAACATACGAAACACATGATTATGTTCTAAAAATTATTAGTTAGAATTTTAATTTTATGGAATTTCATTTGTCATAATTATTTTTGAGCCGAATTAGTATTTTGCAGAATATGCATTAAAACGATTTTCTATATTAAAGAATTTTTATATAACCGAGAATTCACTTCACAGAATTTTTGTTTGATCGAAATTTTATTTGACAGAATTTTTATTGGCTCGAATTATCATTAAACATAATAGGCATTTTAAAGAATTTTTATTGGGCATAATTTCATTGCATAGAATTTTCTTTCAGATGAATTTTCATTTGTTCGAATTATTATTTGATATAATTTATATATTAACCGATTTTTCATACTATAGAATTTTTACTTAACCGAAAAATCATTTAACAGAATTTTCATTTGTCCGAAATTGCGAATGACCGAACAAACAATCGACAGAAAGATTCGGCGCGATTTTTAAAATCAAAACAATTTTATGGATAATTTTTAATTGATTGATTTTAAAAATCGCGCCGAATCTTTCTGTTGATTGTTTTTTCGGTCATTTACAATTTCGGACAAGTAAAAATTCTATTAATTAGAAATTCTATTAAATAATTTTTCGGTTAAGTAAAAATTCTGTAGTATGAAAAATCAGTTATATATAGAAATTATATCAAATAACAATTCGAAGAAATGAAACTTCATCAGAAAGAAAATTCTATGCAATGAAATATTCTACTCAATAAAAATTATTTAAAATGTATATTAGGTGTGTTAAATGAAAATTCGAAAAAATAAAAATTTTGTAAAAGTGAATTTTCGGTTATATATACACTGAAAAAAAAATTTATTTGATTCAAATACCGGTGTATTTGGTTATTATCAAATAAATATTTACTTGAATCAAATATTTTTTATTTGAAGCAAATATATAGTATTTGAATCAAATATTTCAGTATTTGAAGCAAATAACATTTATTTTATTTAAATAAGAAATATTTGATTCAAGTAAATATTTATTTGATAATAACCAAATACACCGGTATTTGAATCAAATAATTTTTTTTTTCAGTGTAAAAATCCTGTAATATAGAAATATCGTTTTGATGAATATTCTGCAAAATACTAATTCGAACAAATTAAAATTCAGCTCAAAAGTAATTAGGACAAATGAAATTACATAAAATGAAAATTCTTACTAATGATTTTTAGAACATAATCATGCGTCCCAAAAATACATTGTTGAAAAAATGGGACAAGAATATTTAAATATTGAAAAATAGTAAACAATTTTTTAAAAAAATTTTATAAACAAATTCAAATTTTTTTAAACATATTTCGAAAGTCGATGAAAAATTGAAACCTTTTTTTTATCATAACCATAATTCCTAAATTCAAATTCTTTTTTATAGTTAGATGTCATTGAAATAAGGTCTATTTTTAAACAACTCAAAAAAACAAGATATATAAAAATTATAACTTGAAGATTTGAGCACTTATCAATAAAAAAAATTATAAATAAACTTTTTATTTCTATAAAGAAGAAAAAAAATATATTTATTGAATTTAAATGTCATATAGGTACATTTTACTTTGAATCGCCCAAATATGGGGGATTTCATGTGAAGTCGTAAAAGGGAATAAAAATAGCTTTTTTCTTGTAATTATTT